CAGTGCGGCGCGGCCCGGGTGCTTAGATGCAGCCGAGGTAGTGCAGGGCGGGCGGTGCCACCTGCCTGTGTACAGCCCTGGGGATACGGGGACGCCACCTCTCTGCCCTCCGTGTTGTCCCTTCCCATGCAGCAACTGCCCCGAGCCCAGTGCGCAGGGCTGAGGCAGCCACAGCTCCCAGCGCTGAAGCTCCGATTCCCCCACACATACTACCGAATTTCTGATGCAGCTTGAAATTATCATGACTCAGTCATTTCCTTGTTTATGCCTCTGTATCCTCAAGGTCAGCTCCACTCCAGGAATAATATTTGTCAGGCTGCCCGGGCCGAGGCCGACAATAGGAAGGAGAGGGCTGGGAGGGGCTGCAAAGCGCATGGGGACACTGCTCCCCCTGCCCGCTCAGAGCAAACTCGAAGGACACAGGTTAAAAATACGCGTGGGTGACAGCCGTGGCCTTGGCTCCAACAGGCTCTGTCAAGCTGTTGTGGTCTGAGAGCCCATTTAATCCAGTTAAAAAAGGAATGGAAGTTCTCCCTCCTGGCCAGACTTGCACAAGCAGAGAGGGAGAAGAGAGCGGATGCACGCGATGCTTCAGGGGTGCAGGACTGGACCCGCGGCTGGGGGCAGGCGGCCCCCAGAGCACCCAGCGCAGCCCCAAGGCCACTTGCAAACACCAAGGTCCTCCCCGGGGCCCAGCCCCACTCCAGGGCACCCCAGAGCCTGTCCCACAAGGGCTGTGCAAAGGCCCTGGGCTCAGGAGCAGCCCCAGCCCAGCCAGCGTTGGGGGTTCCCAGTGGAAGTTGGCAGTCTCTGCCCAGGCAGATTTACTGGCCACCTCAGCACAGGTCTTCCAGAAACTTCTCCCCAGGCCTTTCCAAGTTCTTCCCAACATCCAGCTTCTACCACTCTTTCTAGGACGTGCCCCCAGGCCACCTCATGGCCACGGCTGTGCAGCCCCTGCACTCCCATGGCTGGGAACCAACAGCCCCAGTCACCTCTGGGGACCCTGTG